GTATGCCTGCTCTATTGAATTGTTCTTTGGAGGATTGTATGTAGTCAGCTTTTTGCATGAAGGTCATTCACTGAATACTTTCATATTTTTAGTGAACGGTGAACTGAAGGGATCAAATTTGAAGCAATGAACGCGAATGAGACATTTACTCTGAGAATAATGAGCAAGACACACAGCAGTTATTACGGCAAACAGGATGACACACCAGCATGTTCACTGTTAGTACTAGTGGTATTTCTGGTAGAGTTTTATGAACTAACAAAGGAAGACTTGGACAGAATAAAAAAAAATAAAAAACTCAAATTTTTGTGAAAACTGTGCCCATAGAGACTTAACAAACAAGTCCGTATGATAGGCAGGTCAACTCTAAAAATTAAAGCAACACATTGAGTTAAAGCATCTGAGCTATATTGGGAAATATCTGCTACTGAATGAGGAACAGAAGAAATCAGTTTTGATCCAGAACTTAACCTGAATGTATGTTTCTAAAGTTCTGTGTAATTTGGCTGAGTAGAGGCCTCACTGCACATCCAGTATACCTTGACTGCATTGAGTATTTTATATTTCTTTCTTTATATTATGATCACACATTTATAGGGTAAAATGTGAGGTTATATTATGTAGGGTCGAATAATGATGATAATTAGGGATGCACAATATAATCTGCACCCTATCGGTATCGGCCTGAAAACTGAATATTGGACATAGGCCACCCCACCGATATTTAACCCGATATTTGAACAGCTCTGAGTTTCTACAGTCTAAAAAAAAAAAATACAACTTCTTCTTCTTCCTCAAAAACTTCTTTTTTACAGACTTAAAAACTTCTAAAGACGAGGGAAAAAATATCGATACATTAAATATCTTCATATCACAATATCTTCATATGCTGATATATTGCCATTTAAGAACACCATATTAATCTCTTTTACTAATGAAATATTGCTATATGTCATCGTTATGCTACGAAATCCCCCGAAAATTCACGAGATTTTGCCATATTTTAATGTGTTGATATATTGACGCGGTATCGATCTATTTTACTAACAAAATCTCACAAGAATTTGTAACAGAACGATGAAATTTCACGAGATTTTGAAAGTAAAATAGCTCGATACCGCGTTTTTAAAAATC